GCGAGCGAAGCCATACTGAAATGCAGTTGTGCATACAGCCTACAGCTACCAAAAAGCCAAGAGCAATGACAAATTCACTGGCGCGATAACGACACGATAGCAGTAGAAGAAGCGTCAGGGGCGCATAAAAAAATGAACAAGTGCTAATATAGAAGATCCAGTTCTCGCAAGTGTGCTCACCACGCCCAGATCCCAATCAGTTTGGGATCATGAAAACACCTTGCTTCTTGTACTGGCACAGTACAGTACAACTTCCCCTGAACCCTAAACCCAAAATCCCAAGCCCTCAACTTATAACATAGATATATATAGTATAAAGGTCCTTTCCATTTTCTTTCCCATTATCCCAACATAATCCCAGATATAACTCTGATAGATGGGCCTGCAACAGCAAGGATCCCAAGGCCCTCTGGCCAGGATCGGCCCTTCCTTAGCGGGTGACAGGCGATGTGGCCATGCGTATAGGAAGCTTGCGGTTCTTGAGTTTGGGTCTGAGTTTCCTGCTAAGTCACGGCTAAGTCGGTAAAGGATTCTAGGCGCTGAACCTGTAGTTTGCAAAGCTGTTCTGCGGCAAAATATAAGCATGACAATTGAAACAATAAGTAACATCGCAACCTGCAATATCCACCTCATATACTCCAGGAGTCCCAGAGTGATCCTCTTTTGAAAAACCATCTGACAAGCCGGCCAGGCTGCTCGCATGATGAGATGGCGGTGTTGAAGGCCACAACGCTCCTGTCAGCATTCGTTATGGGTCCTTAAATAGATGAGGTGCAAGCTTCTGTGACGCATGCAAAACAATTGCAGCAGTCATGGGTGATGACGTTTGACACAAAATTACTGCACTTGTCAGATCCTACGTCCTAAGGATTCTAAGCCTTGTCATGAATGCGGGCAATTTGTGGCCCACAACAAAGTTCCCTCTTTACATGCCCCAACATGCTATGATCCATCTGACAGGGACCCCCCAATTCTTGAAAGCCCCATTTGGATTCTGAAGTGATTCCGAGGCCGCCACGTCTCCACAGCTCTCGCATATGCTGCATTGAGGATCTCCAGCGAGTTCTGCCACCTCCGCATCCAGGGACTTGGGGCGACAATCTGGGTTGCTGATAGATCACAGATTATAGATTTCTAGGCGATGGTAACCTAAAGTGGCCTCTGTGAGAGTAAGGGGAGCGGGCTTCTGGTTTTGCGGTTGCATCTGTATCTGGATGAACATGCCTATAGCCAAATTGTGCCCTGACATGCTGGCTGCAAGAACTGGATCCTCATCGCCCCTCCAAGGTTAAAAGGAGTTGTTGGTTCAAGCCTCGAGAGGAACACACGGTCTTATGAAAGTCCCACATGTCCAGCGGTGCAGGCTCGACACGCGAGGTCTGGAAACCGTACTTGTACCTGGAAGCGGTCATGAGGCCTGCTCATATGCCTGCCTGCAATCTTGGTCAGATTGCACGCGCCTTAAAAAGAAGCGACCTACCTGGAAGACATCCCTATGACAGGGCCCCAACCCCTGAATCAGGAAGTTGCTAGAACCAGCATCCACAAGCTAAGTAAGCCAAGCTTTGACACTGCCCTCCAGGTGAGCTAGGCCTTCCGGCTCGCTCGCACACCCCGAGAGCCGCGCCAAAGCCTCGACTCCAAAGGTCTTGTAAGGAGCGATGCGTTCGGGACTCTGAATGTGGAGTCCTTCTCAGGGCTTTTGGAGGCTTTAAATACTGCTCTTTCAAGAGATATACTGTACCTGGAAACTTTGCAACATGCAGACTTCTTTGACGACAGAAACCTACATCCTGCCCACACTTGGTTCCGCTACCAGAACCGGACAAGACGGACACCCGCAAATTGTGGCCACCTGTGCGATATCCCAATCCGTCCTAGCATAAGAGCAACTGTATAGTCCAAATGTTGAGACTAGCACTGTGAGAAAAATGCGAGGCCTGCAGTCCAGGTGATACAGACTTGGCAAACTTTGCGGCACAGCCGCATATGATGTTCATCTCGGCTCGTAGGCTCTGCATACCGGCCAGGGCATCCTCGGCACAAACAAGGCCCCGACAGCAACTCTTTGCAGCTGACAGGCTCCCCAACCATGAGGTGGCTAATCAAGCAACTCTACGCTGAGGACGGATTCAGCACCCTCTTCACAGGCCCAGCATGATCTCGCTGGCACCTATTATATTGCATGCTTGAGGTCTAGAGCCGCTCGATCCACATCCTTCATCCTCAAATTCGGGGTAAGGGCCCGAGTGTCCAAAACACACGTGGGCGTGCTCATAACATCCAAGTATTCATAGAGAACTTACCATGTGGCGAGAGCTCTCAAAGCCGCGCGTCAAGTGCCTCCTCCCAAGCATGCTTGAAGCGTAGGTCACGATTCCGCTCGAAGCGTAAGTCACGAAAGATCGACACCTTAGCTTGACGTGCAGAGGCTCACTGCAGAGCCAAAGCACAGGCCTGGCGGTTTTTCCAAAGCTCCGTTCCTGCTAGCTGTTCCTTCTGCTCGTCCAGGAAAAGCTGTCTCACGCGTGATGTTATGTGGGTTCACGGCCTGACACTTAAAAAACTACCTGCCATCTCAGTACACACCTGCACAACTGCACATCCAAGGCACGAAGCGCTTTGGATCATCTCTTGCAAGAGCCTCACCACCAGGCAAGGGCAATTTCAGGTGACTGGCCGCCAAGTTGTATCATGTGGGACAGCAACTCACATTCCATGTGGTAGTCCCTTCTTTACAAGAACCTTCACAACAACAACCATATGCGCGGCTAAGATCGCTGGATGAAAGAATCAATGTTGACATGAAACACCTATCAAATTCTACCCAGCACAAGGATCCTCAATTGGGTGGTTGTCAAAATTATGGTCCGTTTTTGGGTACCCTAAATATTAGGTGCCGTATTATAATAGGAACCCAAAATTTTGGGGTCCATAATTTTGACAACCACCCAATTGGCCTTTAGCTGGTGCTGGCATCTTCCTGACCCCAATATAATCCCTATATAAACCCTAATATACTAGAGTAGTTTCCATCTTATTTTCCATTATCCCAATAGAACCCCATCCGCTCTGAATGGTATCAGTGGACCTGCTAGATGAGCATCGGGTCCCAGTCAAGCAAAACTGCTTCGGCCCAATTTTTCCAGATCTGAAGAGGTAAGAAATGTAGAAGAGCTTTGTGCAAATATGTAGGCATGCTCCTGCCCTTACTAATATTGTAGTTTCCATTTTCTTGTCCATTATCCCATTATACCCATTATCCCTATATAACCCCTATATAACCCCAATATAATCCCAGTTTCCATTTCATTTTCCATTTTCTTTTCCATTTGATTCTCCATTATTGGGGTAATATCCCTGTATACCCCTTTAAAGGGACCTAGGGTTTCCGAGTTTAGACAGGGGCTGCGGGATCCCTGTTCCCTTGCTAGTTTCAATAATAGCCGGGGGGTCTCGCAGACCTCCCTTTGTTTTGAGGAAGACTGTTGAATATGAAAGCAGCCCCCCTGTCTGTTTTTGGGGTGGCACACTAATGAGGATCCAACTTTTAAGCAGACTGCGAAAATTGGTCAAGCATTGACAAGCAGAATGCACGATCCACAATTTCCACAACCCTTCAGAAGAAAACAAAGCTGAACCCCCATCTACATGTATCTTTCTGCGATCTGTCCGAAATTCCCAAGTACAGCCCGGCTGTTTGGATTACTTAGGCCCAAATCAAGAGAGGATGCCTTTTTCCTCTTCCCCTGCTTGTGGCTGCTCCTGGTTGAAGCATGTGCTGAGCACCTGTGCCGTCTGGAGGATTGGGGCAAGGGATCCCAAGAAAAAAAAGAATCCAGGCAAGGAGGCAGTTGGTCCCCAATCTATCTTTTGATGACTTCAGTCTCTTCATCCGGAAGTTGGCAGTACCCCTCCACACTTGCAACTTTAACAGGTGCTGCTCGGACTCATGCAATCACTTCTCGTTGTCCGCTGCATTTCCTTGCGCAGGCCTTATGTCACCTCCACTGCTGACACTTCCTTAGACTGGCCGACTCAACCGTCTACGACTGCGGACAGACGTAGTCACGTAGTGGCCACCTGGCAGCAAGCATCGCCACCACCGGCCGAGCGGGAATGGGAGACCGCACTCAAGGACATGGCACCGGGCTCAAATCTTCACTTGTATTGGACAGGCAAACGAAAAATGTAATGGAAACTGGGATTACATTTGTGGCATCAAAGGCTTTCCTTTAGGGCTTGTTACATTGACAGGGATGGTTTAATGATAGCGGTAGGTGTAGTGGTGGTAGATGTCATGGTTGTTGGAGTGACAGTCGTGGTTGTAACACCTAGTGACCTAGTGGTGGTAGTGGTCGTGCCGGTGGTCATGGTATTCTGGCTGCTCAGCCACTTCACTCCAAGTCTTAACTCACAATTCCCAGGCAGCTTCAACAGCTACTTGTGACACGGCACTATTTTCGAGGCTGATTGGCAGCTTCAGAGCAAAAACGCGCATAAGGAGAAGCTTGCAGAACAGAATTCCGGGATACTTGAACAACCTCAGTACGTCAGCAAGCCACAGAATGCTCTTTTGCGTGTCATGTCGGAAGCCCGGTTTGCAAGCATCTCTACGCAAGACACAAATGCTTGGCATCCTTCATCTGAGCTAATTCATGGCTACACGCTCGAATCTCAAATTCTTTGCAGATCATGGGTGGCATGTTGCGCATCTGCTGTGATGGGCAAGAAGTGAAACCAGCAATCAAAGATGTCCTGCAACCTCGTGCCACAGAGTCAAAGAAGCCCCGTATCCAACGCCACCCAGGGCTGCAGAAGTGATAGAAAAGGAATGCCAATGGGAGAAGCCAGCTAATGAGCTTCCTCCCGTTTCCCCGTGTCTTCTTTCCACCCTTCTATTGGCATCAAACATCCTCTCGGCTGCTTGAAGCTCAGAACCTCAACAAACACAAACAACTCATCTGGCCCTTGGCCTGAACCTCGCAAGGTGCTGGGTCCTTCAAGCTGTATTGGGCAACCTCGGTGATGACGTACATCACACCGTCCGTGGTATCCGGGGCGGGCTCGCCCTTCTCATCCTGGCGCTTAGCTGGGCTTTAGAGTCCTGGGCACATCGCGTCCATTGAAATGGCTGTCGTATTCAAGTGCAAGGTACCAAGTTGACTTTCCATGTTTGCAGCAAAGAAAATTCTAGGCTTTCAACCCTTTCAGTTCTATTGGTTTGAAATGCACAGACACATCCGTAGTGACGGAACTGCTTGTCTACAGGCTTGCTGCCGTGTTGTGTGTTGCGCCTTATTTACATAGGTAGGGGAAGAGAACTGTACAAGCCCTGTGGAAGACCATGGCTTGATACATCATAGATGCACACAGTCTACTAGAAGCAAACAGGCACAGAAGCTATTTATTCCAGAAATGTCATAGTGTGAAGAGCACGCGAAAGCGTAAGGGAAAATCGGCACATTGTGTCCTAATCCAAAGCTGCAAAGCCCTCAATTCGCAGCCCACAGGAACTCACAGTAACTCCTGCAGTGGGTTATACCGCTACACACAGTACTGGAACCTTCATCCCTTGTCCCCAGCTCACGTTGAGCATGCGTCATGCAAAGTCGGAGAAGCTTTGTCAGCTACCAAAAAAATTGCCTGCAAGAACAGAACGAAGAAGTAGTAAAGAAATCTACTATCTGAAAGGCCGAAAATGTAACTAAGAACTCTATGCCAAGTTGGCAGAGATTGCCGCAGTTCAATCAAGCCACCCAACGCATCCAGTGTATGTAGACATGTGAAATACTCAGGTTCTTCGGGGAATCAGGGTACTGTCGCATATCCAGAACGATAGAATCCCTATCACGAGGACCGCCAAGATCATGGTGAGATTCATCCAAACCATACAAGCTAACCCGCCTGTCCGCACAGGGACCAGAGAAAGCGGCTGTAAATCATGTTGAATTGCCATGGCAGGCTTTCTTGCCCGAAGAACTCATGAGATTCTTTTGGTAATCGCACTATTATCCCCCCCTGAAGCCTCAGATCCCTTGACCTCTAGGCCCTCATTCTACACCTAAACTGGGTTGCTGCTAAGGAACTTAAATTAAGTTACCATAATGGGTGTACATAGTAAATAATAGGATTTCCGCAATATAGTAACTTAATTGAAGTTCCTTAACAGCAACCCAGTAAACTTGTAAGGTGCCATCCTTGGAGTAGTCCAGGAGCATCATGAAGAGCTTGGAAGGAGTCGCTTTTGCGAGGTCGGGATGCCAAAGTGTCTGATCCTTGTGCAGGGCGGGTTTCTGAGCATTACGGGTCCCCATAATAAGGATGATAATATGGTGGGATCTATAATATATACATATAACATATATATATATATTTACATATGGGGGTCACCCTTTTGTGGAAACTACCAAATTATGAGAATTCGTATACAAAACGGAACCAGACCTCACCTATGCGTTCTTGGTGCTCCAGACCTACATCACACGAAGACCCTCGACCTAGAAAGTGAATGTGGGACAAATTTGGGAAGGTCACGGTTTGCTCTCTTGCTTCCGGTATTGTCTGCTGCACTGTTGAGTTGGGCAAGCATTCCAATCCAAAACACTTCTGGACTATGGCTCAGCACTGAAAGTAAATGCTGACCCTGAAGCTACAGAGCAGCTGCGCCTTGGGCACCACGAAAGCCTCCTGAAGCCTCATGAGGGAAGCTGTGGGAGATTATCGTCTTCTGGGGTTTGGGCTCGAGGCATCGTGGCGGCGATTCTGCGAGTTGAATTGTGGGGCCACATTGAGTTAACTGGGAAGCAGTACTCTAAGTAGCAGATTCCCCAAGCGCAAACCCCATGGCTGCAAACCGTGACTCTGCATCGTATGCCCTACTCGAGCAAATCCCTGCGTAAGAACATTCTTCCAGGAATCAGCCCCAGCGACGCCCTTCAGAGACCTCTGAACTGAGGTCCTAACATCTTCAGCACCTGGATCTGGCGCTTGAACTTCTGCAGGCGGATTTCCTTCCCACGCGGAGATTTTCATAAATTTGGTGTTCCTTTCTAACTTGGAATACCGCCTATTATCATGATTATATATATATATATACACATTGGTGTCTATACCTGGGCCCCTCTTCAAGGAATACCCACACACCTGCGCATGACGAGAGGGGGACGGAGATTCTGCAATGTGTAGGCAGGACGTGTTAGTCTGCTATAGGATCGTTTGACTTAGTCAAAAGCTACACCTTGGACGGCAAATCAGGGATAGTACTCCTAAGCACCGTTTTGGGTCACTTGCTACTTGTTGTCCTACGAAGCTTCCAGTAGCCAGCTACCTATGCACACTTCTGACTCTTTTCAGGATGCAGCCACAACAGAGCCATGTCTTCCTGGCCTACATGGGAATCTTAGGGACAATAAGGTCAACGGGGATGCAACATCTGCAAAAGAACCACGAAAGGGCAGGGGACCTCCGAGCTGTTCACAGATTTTGTGGCCAGCTTGTACACCTTGATTGCAACTTCCTGAGCTGGCGGGCAGACGCGCATGTCTGCACAAAAAGTAAGGTCTCTCAGCACGGGAGCAACCTGAAGACGGTACGGACACGTGTGCGGGACTATGGAGGCTAAGACCAGGGATTCGTTATGGGCACGTCTGAGAAACTCCACTATGTTTATTCTGCAGCCAATCAGAAACAATCATCATGCATGCACTTGAGGCACAGCTTGCATTTACCAGTCTCTGCAAGGCACCAGATATGCGGCTCAAAACATCCAGCGCTGAAAGATGTTCGCTTGCGTCACAATTACAAGAATCTAGCGGGAACCGCAACTAGATTTTGCTGTCAGTATGCCGTCTTTGAATACATGGAAGCAAGACCCTGCTCACATTCGGCTGTCACATGCCCAAGCTGCTTGTCCTGTCTCCAAGCAGATTCCCTGCGCAGCAAAGGTATCACCGGGTGGGCGCCAAACAAAGACTTAGGCTTCAAGTGCTGACACGGATGGGATTGAGAATGTAATCTCTTTGTAGCATACGACCCTCGGCCTGGCATGATGTGGGAACTGATTCTATGGACTTATGGACCTTGGGAACACCTCCAGTGGCTCTGAAAGCAGGGGGATTGCTCCTTAAAGTGAATGCATGCTTGGAATAGCGAGCCTAGGCAGGGGTAACCGCTTTCAAGACGTAGAAAGGGCAGCAGTCTCCATCCCTGCCTTGCGGCAAATCGAGGAAGATCCCTCCCCGAGAAGATCGGACTTGTTCATGCTCATCTTGTACCTTCGTTGAATACCGGGCTGCAGTTTTGAACCATTTGCTTTGTGAGACGGTCAAGACATGCAGGAAGATTCTTGCGCATGCATGCCCAAAGTAGCACTGACATCGGCATATGCATCAAGAACACAACTTCATGTTCTATTCCCCCGGTCTCTAGCACCAAAGTCAGGCCCATCAAAATTGAGCGTCGACTTCTACCTTGGAAGAGGCCCTCCCCTCTACCTGACAACTGACCTGAACGTCTCTACAACAGGAATGATCATCAACAATTCAGGCTGCTTCCCCATCACGATGGGCTTGTCTGGGTCAGCGTCGCGGCCGCCATACTTGGGGGGAGAGGAGGCTCCACCTCTCTGCTCGCTTATCAGGTGCAACTACTTGTCCCCGGGTTTTCCGTTTGTAGACACGAAGAACCAGTGGCACTGGACTCGTGATGAAAAATACTGAACTTCTCATAGATAATCAAATCATAAAGACCTGCCGCACATGCCTTGGGAGGCACAACAAATCATCACTGCAGACTTGCTGTCAACACAAGCCGGCCGCTGTGATCTTCTTGGACATCGTTCTATCACATCGAAATTGAGACGCATGTGAAAGCGCTTGACGCATGTAGGTATCATGTCTCAAAACAATGAATCATGCAAAACACGTCGCACCGCACATGGGCTTATTATGACTTAGCCGAACAAACACAGTCATAAACTGGCAGGACCTGGTCTCTATCAAACCGCGCAGGTCAAACTCTGATCACCTTGCTCCTTCTGCCTAGGAATCATGCGTCCCTTTGAGGGTGCCGGAAAGGACAACAATATCTGCGGAAGATATACGGAAAACCCTCCATCTTGGAAGCACCCAAATGGGAGTGCCAGTCATCATGTTGGGCATTAAGGCCATGAAGAACAGAGCTCTGCCAAAAAATCCAGGTGCTCAAAGGTTGCTATGCAATGTGTATTAGATATGAAGACTTCCTAGTATTGATGCATGTGCAACATACTGGATGATGTTCGCGCATGACTGCATCCTACCTTACACGATTCTTGTGTGGTGATGCTGCATGGGCTTCTCTCAAGTTCACCCACCATGATTGGCAAGGCAAATTGGAATTCGGGATCTGCCACGATCAGATACTTGCCGCCTACTAGCATACTTGCACGTTCTGACGTCCAACATCTGCGACGCTGCACTCATTGCTCGAAGATGCCAATAAAGATCTTTGCAATTTCTTCCGATGTTAAAGCAAATCATTGTACGGTGTTATTGCACACCATCGCATGTGATTCTACAATGGTGGTGCTTCTGGTCTCGTGCGATCACTAGACCTTGAAAATCATGGATGATGAAGCGTTGGATCAGTACGAATCCAGGACCGCTGCGAGCATCTTTCTGAGAAGAGACTGCGACATTTAAAGTCGACTTCCTCCAAACTGCACTTCGAAGTGCACTTACATCGAGGTGATGGGAGTAGCTATTCACCGAGTACCCTGCCCTTACAGTTACAACACGTTACAGCATGTTCCAACCAAACTTCGGCTACAACGTCCCTCACACCTGCACCAACGCCCGCGAAAACCAAAAACTCGAGAAGCCTCTATGGGGGCTATATAGGGTTTATACAGGGGATGATATGAGCTATAGTCTAGACTCTTAGTATCCCCCAATACGAGGCCTACAAGAGGAACCCTACACAGTGCTTTAGACCCTAACCCGACATACTAATCCCCTACATAAACCCCTTTAAGGAGTTTGGACCCTAAACCCTAATCTCCTATACAACCCCCTTTAAGGAGTTCGGACTACACCTTCTATAGGGGTTACATAGGGCTCCAAGGCTTCCGCCTTCGGGCATGTTTGGTCGCGGCGTCTTTTCCACTTGATGGCCAGAGGCCTGCAAGCAACCCATAACACCTGAGCACCAGGCTGGCCTTTGGTTAGCTGGGAATGAGGGAATGGAAAAGAAAATGGAAACTACTATTACTCTACTGGGTTATATAGGGACTACTATAAGGATCCATTCCTTCATTCCTAGCTAACCAAAAGGCACCAGGATCATTTGAGCTATAGTCGAAACTCCCCGAAGGGGGCTATATAAGGGTTATATCGGGTTCGGGATCTCCTTGGAAGTTGGATATATTCGGGACTATATAGGGGACCATCATGGAGGTTCTTCAGGGAGATACTAGGAGTTTAGACTAAAGCTCATGTAGGCTTCACAGGATGATGGGGTAAGATGACAACTGCACAACGTTTTGAATGTGGACTGTTCGGTCCAATCCCGCCCGGTGTCGCAGATCTGTCTCGGGATTTTTGAGTACATGAGTAAAAGCTGTCATTCGGGCAGGTTCGATGCTTGGAGGATGTTTGACAGCGGCTTCCAGTCTGCTCAAGAGGATGTGGGCAAGAACCTTCGTGAAAGCAACATAAACATTCCTCCACGGTCTTGTACAGCAGCAGGGCGTGCTGACTACATGAAACAGGTGTTACGGAGGACTAGCTTTGTCTCCGGGCACATGTGGCCATATCATCCGCTTTGCTTGCACGGACCTTCTCAACCCTCATGAAACCGCCTCCTCATGACACCCAGTCTCATGTAACAGCTTCCCAAACTTCTGGATGTTTCTTGCAGCGCAGCGGTCAGCGCTACTGACCCAAATGCCCACACACGAGGCAAAGACGAACACCCTGTATGATGCCCTCCAAGTACTGCTGTATGTCCCTGCATGACCCTCAAACCTGGCAACTTCCAAGGGCTGCACAAGGTCGGGGGCGTCTGCGCTCGTCACAGTCTGTCACTGACTGCGCAAACGAACTCGAGCCGAATTGAGCTGCCGCAAGGAGCATCTTTTCCTACTGGCGGCCAGTCTTTTGGTAGGTCATGAAAAAATGCTTACCTCTCATCATCAAGAATCTACAGCCCCTTTTTTTCTGGATGCAGCTAGCCACTTTAAAGGCCTGCACACAATCAGTCTTGCTGAGGGTGAAATCCTGATCTAGACTTCGTCTCTAGTGCAAAAACCTTTAGGAGATGTTCCGGGCAATACCTGGAAGGCAAGCACACGGCATAGCTGTAAGGTACACTTGGTCATCCTGAAGCCGATAGAACTATATCCCCAACATCCGCAACATCCTGTTTACGTGATGAGGGCATAGCCAGCTCTTGAGGCGGCAGGTAGAGATCTCCCAACAGGACCTATGACACGGGCTTAGGACCCTACTCAGCCTCCATAAAGCCCACCCTCCGGGACAACCTCAAAACCTGCTCCCTAGACCTCAAAAAGAAACCTTTACGTCCTAACACAGAACCCAAATCCCTGACCCTAAATCCCTCTACCCCGAAACAATAAACGACAAGACCCTACTTCACTTCAGTCTGTTGGCATCGCAGCCGAGGCCCCCACGGCGACGCTCCATTGTGCGCTCAGCCTCTGCAGGGGTATGGAAAGGGCTTGGGACCTTGATGGCGGGGGTTGCTTAGGTTCTGGGGATAATACCCCAATAATGAAGAGTAAAATGCAAGATGAAATCGAAACTGGGCTCACATAGGAGTTATATAGGCTGTAAGGAAGTTAAATTCATGCATGCTATTTTTCATCTAACGATATCATGGTACACTAGATTTACGTTCCTTCACACAACCCAATGATTGGAATTAAAGAGTTAGGCGGCGCGGGCTTAAGTTTAGAGGGGCCATTATTGAATTCAAGTTTCTTCAACTTTTTCTTCCACTGTCCTATGCTTACAACCCGCCTCCTGCTCAGCTACCCTTTAGGAATCAACTGATGGGAATGTTTTTTGCACGTGGGACTGCATCGCGTCTCTGGCAGCTCGACCACCGGAATCCTCTGGAGCTCAAACCACCAATGGAAAGTCGAGGTATTGCAAAAACCTTGAAGCCAAAAACCCAACACGAAACCCCCCGACGATGGTAAATGTCTCATGTTAGCCAATTCGACCCGTAGACACGAGGAAGCGCCATCATGGCAGGTCCTCTCAACGCTGAATGGTCCAGTGTCCGTAAGAACTCCAATTCTAGCCCTAAATCTCAATCACCCCCGTTACAACTTCACATCATTCCCGCATAGGGAAGAGTAGTTTTGTTTCTTGAGAAAGCCAAAACTACGTGTCAGCTAAAATGCCTTAAATCTTAAATCATAGATTACGGCGAGCTTCTGAGCAAATTACGCGGAATCTGCAACAATAATAGGGGACTAAAAATTCCTTCATGTACCAGCTCTGTATTTTCATTGTGAGAATGCTATGCGGGATGTTGAATACAAGAATCTAACTCACATGTGTGTACAGGGGGCTTCAATGCCAAAAATCGACGAACAAACAATTGAAAACACGGATTTCACGTATGTTTAAAGTCGTTATTGTCGTCCGAAGCTACAGTGGGGCCACGAGTTAGCAAAACTTGTAATGACAACCAACTATGGGCACCCACATTTCTTCAATAAATACTATGCCCCGATCATCAAATGATATCAAACCCTCCAGTGGGCTTTGCTATTGGGGCAGGGGGACGTTTGTTATTAGGGGACACAAATTCCCAATATACAACCTTTATGCAATAGGCTGGTGGGGGGTTGCAGATTGGCTATTAGCCCAAACCCGTAAATTTTACAAACCGTGAAGCAAGGCCTCAGGGGAAGAGACATTGGACACCGGCCCGACACGCTCTGACGATGCCTTTCCCCAAGTATCGGGGTCTACTTGGAATAATTTCTTCAAGAAGACATTTGATATGTCCCCCCTTCAAGGCTTTACCCCCACGATTGGACAAAGCTAAGCCTGATAAGGGGGCTGGGGTGTTCCTGGGTGGGTGTGGGGAATTCTGAAAGTGGATAGTGAGCATTCCTCTGAAGAGATGAAGAAGAACAGAAAGCGGCGTAGCCCAGACCTTGTAAAAAATACCAAGTGCGACCTTCAGGAAGGGCGTGGCGGCTTCAGAGGGGGCCGGGCATCGGCTCTTACCACACAACAAAACCAACATCACAAACAGCAGGCAAGTGCTGGATGAAAACATGCGACGTGAATCTGTGGTTCCCCACCCCTCCCTCCCCCCCAAACCCCTCCCCACCCAGCTGGAAGTCGGCTCCCTCACCCTTCCCTTTCCATTTCTTCCCTCTGCCCTTGTCTGGTCTCTCGTGCGAGGACCGCCGTCCAAGTACAAGAATACATATATATATATATATCTACATGTATATATATATATATACGTATATACACATATATGCACATGTCTAAATAAAAATCAACGGCATGTGATGTACGAAGCACTGAAGAT